CCGTTCATGTTACCTGTTGTCATCCCCTGTGCTTCCCTGTGCGTGTGTTAGCTTAATAAACCTGTCTGCACCGTCTCCCATGTGTTGGCTGCATTCGGGTCCAGCCCTTACCCCTCAAACCCTGACAAACCCTGACAGCTGTGACATTGACTAAAATACAAATTCAGGAGCTGATTTCCCGAGAAATGCATAAGTGACATTTTTCTGGGAACTGGCTACTGTGTCCACATTTTTGGCTCCAGAAACACCAAAGCCAGTAAAGCAGTGCACGAAGATTTTCAAAATCACACCCAGATCTGAGTTAGCTGTCTTTTACAACTAGACACAGGTGTTCGAACTAGCTTGTTAAGAGACTCTTTGATCTCTGTGATGTTTACAAACACAGCCACACGCACGCACACACGCAGAAAGCTGTTTGCACACATATTAGTGCTCATACAGAAAGATTACAATTCAGACTGGACAGTACAACAGTGGTTGATTTCATTGCTGATCTCACCTGGGAACTGATATATATGATAACCTAAAGACGTTCTTTAATTTCCTCATTTTATCATATATCATTATTGTCGCCCTATAACATGTTTTACCCCTCTCTCCCCATTTTCAAATGTAACACAGTAACACCTTAACTCAAACATTTTAACTGACTTACTTTGTTCTTTTATCTGAGAACATTTTTCACAGTGATTTACCTTTACTGATGTCTTTTCATTAATACTAGTGATGCCGTTCACATGCTGATGTGCTGACTTCGGTGCGGTGTCCCATCTCCAGTCAGTTTCTGTTAGTGTTAGATTTTATTGCTACTCTTTCTGAACAGTTAATGTTGCTGTTTTCTTCATCACAGTGTCTAATTACCTGCTGTACATTCAAACTTACACTAGTTCTGCTCCAGCACTTAGAGCTCTCTGCTCCTTTTAGCGACTTTCACTTACTCAGCAGTTGTTTACAGGCTGTTCAGATTTGCTAGTTTCTTTAGCTTAGAAGTTAGCACTAGCTTCTCTCTCTCTCTCACTCGCTTGCTCGGTGTGGTGTTGTTGTAACTTCACTGTAGAGGATTGTTATATTTACTACATCTTCATCGATGTCTGCTGTCTTTTGGCACAGCTCCACTCGCTAACCTGAATAAAATTTACTATAATTAATAATGATAATTATTAATGTCATTAGCTGTCATTACTATTTTTATCAGTAGGAGCATTACAGTTCTCATTGCATTACTATTGCTGTTACTGCCATTACTATCACTATTATTAATATTGCTATCATTGCACATTCTTGTTCTTTTCCTCTGCGCTCTCTTGCTCTTTCTCACTCTATCCCTCCAACCCTGAGTCCGGTTCTGCTCGAGGTTTCTGCTTCTTAAAAGGAAGTCTTTCCTTGCCACTAGGGGTGGGCAATATGACGATATTAGATCGTGAAGGATTACAACGTGAAGACGATCTTTCAAACTGCAGAGATTGTGGGATCGTCTAGGGCACATTCTATAAATTGCAGTTCTATGCTGATGCACCGACGCACCAGACGTATTGACGTCATCAACCTGACCGACCAATCATAGCGAATTACGGGCAGTGACGCGCTTTCCTACCCGCCTCCTTGTTTGTGTGTGTAGCGGTAGCACATGGAGAGCGATGGCTGAAAGCCAAACGGAGTTGGTCGTTAAAAAAAATTCCACCTCCATTATATGGAATTGGTTTGGATTTTCCGCAACTGATCAAGCGCAAGCAAATGTAATCTGCAAAGTTTGCACAGAAACTGTTCGCACGTCGGGTGGTAACACGACGAACCTGTTTAATCACCTGAAGAAGAAGCACTAAAGCACTAGCACTAGCAACTGTTGCACTAAAAGAGATAACCACAGTCACTTTACTTTGTATTTTTGCGTTTCAATAAACTATTTAGTGTTTTGATAAATAAATCCTGTTTAAATGACTGTCAGTAATGTCTTTGATTGATATTTTACTTTCTGTTACTTTTGCAAGAGTGCACTTTATAAGACTGTTATTGTTGTTTACCTTAAACTTTACGTTGTTTGCACATGCAGGCAAAACTGCGACTATTTGAAATAAAATCTGTTAAGAAAGGTTCTTTGGTCTAAATTGTCTGTTTTTCTTTTTCCAATTTAAGATCGTGATAAAATCGAAATCGTGATTTTATTTTTAAAAAATCGTGATATGATATTTTTGCCATATCGCCCACCCCTACCTTAAACTTTACGTTGTTTGCACATGCAGGCAAAACTGCGACTATTTGAAATAAAATCTGTTAAGAAAGGTTCTTTGGTCTAAATTGTCTGTTTTTCTTTTTCCAATTTAAGATCGTGATAAAATCGAAATCGTGATTTTATTTTTAAAAAATCGTGATATGATATTTTTGCCATATCGCCCACCCCTACTTGCCACTGTCGCCTAGTGCATGCTCTTGGTGGGAATTGTTGAGTCTCTATAAATAATATTATAAAGAGAAGGTCTAGACCTGCTCTATCTGGAAAGTGCCTTGAGATAACTTATGTTGTGAATTGGCGCTATACAAATAAAAACTGACTTGACTTGACTAACCGAAGCTAACTGCGATCTCTAACTGCCATCCCTGAAAATTTTAGTCAAAAAAAGTGCTCTTTTAAAGGTCTTTTAAATACCACAATTTCCAGCCTTGATTGACAATTTTTATATAAAAAATGTAGAGAATTTTTTTGTCCTGCATCACCCAGTTTTGGTATCATTCTGACATATAATAAGCTAAATAAGATAGGATAAATAATAATACGATAAATCAACAAGGTGTATTTGCGTGTACTTGTGTGTGCATATTGATGTGTGGTTCTTTGCGCGTGTGTACATGTCTTTCTACAATTGTGAGGACAATTTTGGTTAAAAACCATTATTATGAGGTCATTTTGACCGGTCTTCACAGACGCACACAAACACCATCTTACTTTTTTGATATTCACCTTCAAAATAAGAGTCTCAACCAGGTAAAAGAACTTACTGTAGGTTCTGTTGGGCAGCTCTACTGCTGCTCTAAGCTGTTGGGATTGAAATCAGCCATTTCTTGTAAAAAAAAAAAATGATTACAAATATATTTGAGGGGCACTTAAGGTCAACTTGTACCCAAGCGACAAGACTTTTGTCAGGGACTGTAGTGTGCTATGACTTTTCTTAGTGATTCAAGAAACCATGGCGACATAAATGGCGATAAAAGGCAAAAAAAATCCCATAGAGAATGAATGGGGAGACATCTTCAAAACGACCAAACCCAGCCCTCTCTGGCACTCATTGTTCTGATAGGAGTACTGTTAGCACCGAGACAAAATCTCACTCAGCTGTGTCAGCTCTGTGCCTCTCTCTTCCAGCTAGACACAGGTGTTTGAAACAGCTCATTAAGAGACTCTTTGATCTCTATGATGTTTACAAACACAGCCACACCCACCCACACACACACGCACACACACAACTAACACAGTATCCGGGGAGAAATGGACAAAGCTGATTTTTATTGGCTAAATAGACTCATTAACTCTTACCGTTATTACTCTCAAGTATGAGAGCATTTATGAGGCAAATCAGCACTGTGTATGTGTTCATGTCTTTCTATGATTGTGAGGACAATTTTGTTAAGAACCCATTTTTGTACACATACTGTATGTACACACATATATTGACAGACACACAAACTATCTCCATCTTTGGATATTCATCTTATAAAAAAATCATAATTTTTGCATCAAAATTTTCAAAGCACTGTACTTCAATTAATATGAGCTGGATTTTCAACCATTTTAGCATTGTGATGAGGGGATCTTTTCAACAGGACTTGTAGTTTTCCCTCCGATATCCCATTTTCGAACACAAGTTTCATCTGAAAAGCTGTGTTATCTGGGGCTCCCCGGTGGCTCACCTGGTAGAGCGCGTACCACATAGGCTTGTCCTAACCGCAGCAGCCATGGGTCCAAGTCTGACCCATGGCCGTTTGCTGCATGTCATACCCTGACTTTCCTGTCTATCTCTCACTCTCCTATTAGAATAAAGAAATTTCTGAAAAATAACTTCTTAAAAAAATAAAAGCTGTTGTCTGCCTAAGGAGACAGAGGGGATTGTGTGAGCGTGTTTCCCTCCTCCCCCTGGTGGCCACAGTTGCCAGTGGCAACAGTGTCTCAGGAGGTGCTGCTCAGCAGGTGTTACTGGCAAAGCTTATTCTGATTGGCTAATTAGACTCATTAATTCTTAGCCTTTTAATGATGAGAGCAACTCTAAGGTAAATCAACACTGTATTTTCATGTACTTGTGTGTGCGTATTGATGTGTGGTTCTTTGCGTGTGTGTACATGTCTTTCCATAACTATGAGGACAATTTTGCTTAAAACACACACACATATACACTGAAAGACACACAAACACCATCACCACCATATGGATATTAACTGTATAAATGTCTCAACCTGGTAACACAAACTTTTTGGAGGCTCTGTGGTAGACAGCTCTACTGCTACACAAAACAATACACACACACACACACACACACACACACACACACTGACAGACACACACAAGTGCGGTTGCTGCCCAAACTTTTACACAACTGACTGTGATTGACTAATTAGACTGATTAACTCAGGGCATTTTTTACTGTTGTCCATGTTGTTCTGTTCTAGCAGGAGAAATCAAGGTAGCTTTATTATAGATCAACTTCTGTTAGAGCATGTACATGTGTGTATACATGTCTTGCTATGGTTGTGGGGACAAATTTATGTTCGAAAACATCATTGTGAGGCCATTTTGGCCAAAGATCTTTTTGAGGGATACCTGCAGTGACTGAGGTCAGAGTTCAGATAATGCTCTACATGAATGAAACTCAAAGTAAAGTCCTCTGTAGAGATTGAAACGTGTGTGATGGATATGCACCAAGCAGCAAGCACATTCAAAATTTCTTCAGGAATTTTATAGTTATTATTATCATTGTTATTATTTAAGAACAAAAGCATGCCTATGCACTTACCAGGAATTCATCTCTTATGAAGTACTTTGCCCTTGTAACACGTGGATCTTCTCCAGGCTCTGGTGTTGCTGAAAGAAGAGAGAGACATTAATGAGACCAAATTTTTTATGAAATCAATCTGTCAAGAGGTGACTGATCAAACATGAATGGATCATTCATGAAAAATGGCTTTTTCAAAATTAGTTACTCAGTACATATTATGATGAGTAATTATGTAACAATTTGAAAAACGAACCTCACCGGTGTGTATCAAGGATGACCTCTTGTGGTCAATGACACTAAAAGCACTGTCCCCCAGAGAACAAGTTTTTTGGACGAATAGCCGGACAAGAATTGTGCACAGCTGTTTTAATAATAGCCTCATAGTGGATAAAAACATGACACTAAAAGTAGATATATCAATGTTTTTCTTGATGTATCTCTTTGAAAGCATGGGGATGTTTCTGCAGGTTCAGGTTTACAGTTATAAGCACAGGATTTCTTTTAAAATGGGACATATTTAACACAAGTGATGGAAAACTGGGACATTTTTCAGAGACCACTCACCAGTTGGGACAGTTTGAGGCAGTTTGGGGTGTCTGGTCACCCTACTTTAATAACAATGATTAGATTATTTCCTGAAATAAATGAGCTGTTTCTTAAAGGCGATATTCTCAAGTGGAAAAAGGGCAGCTGTATTGGTACAGCTACTAACATGGACAGTATTGCTGAGAATTGAAGGTGAACTTCACATGCTCCTGTCTAAAAGAATGGCCATATGAGGTCAAACATGTCTGTGGATGTAGACAGCTCACCGTCATCAGGTGTAGTGTAGCGAGCAAATTCAGGAAAGTATTCCTCGATTTTGGACTTCCCTGCCAGCACCTTCTCTGCTAGCAGGTCCTGTTTATTTAGGAACAAGATAACAGAAATGGTCCGCAGCCACCTGCAGAGAACAAAACACTGAATTTAAATCACGGACTGAGACAAACTGTGTCTGAGTGTGAAGAGAGATATGAGACAGAGTTAGTCAAAATAATTATAAACAAAAATAAAGTGAGGGAGAAATCTATAAGAGAAACTGCTTTTATATTTATTTTAAGATAATTTCTAGAGAATAAAGACTGTCTTAAGGTGTGCAAAATATTGTTCTGTGTCCTGCAGAAACCTAAACAGTTCAGAACGTTTCCACTGGACCATGGCATATAATGGGTGATATACAGTACATTCTGATTTAGTTCAAGGACAAAAGTATTCAACTAAATGACCACCATGTCTGCTGCGGTGGGAGGTACACTGCCAAAGATCTTGGTCATTTTCTGCCATTCTGCAACTTTTATTTGCTGGAACCTCTAAATAAAAGTACATGATCCATCTTTGATTGGTCTTACACTGTGTTTGTTGCTAGGGAACCGCTGCACCTGGTTATTCAATCATTCATGAGAAAAAGCAAGCTGATTCATAAAAGGTTTACCAGCCTTGACACTTAGCTTGGTCAATAACCATCATCTGTCTGTAGTTACAAAAATTTGTCTGATTTAGTATCTACAAATAGAGATCCTTAACGTTTTAAAACTGAGGATCCATGGGAACACACTTTCCAAGAGACAGTTTTCCAACCATCTTTGCTACAGATCGGCAGAAGACAACAGGCCGACAGCATCTGCCTCTCTTCACCTGTTGTTCCAGATGTTCTTGAAGAGGTTGAGAGCCTCCTGTAATCGGTTTGTCTGATTGTCCTCTCTGATCACCATGTTGTAACTGCTACTGGCCACCACGAAAATGATGGCTGTTACATCTGACGGGACATGAGAGAGAGGGAAAGATAAACAGTTAGGGACAAAGATATGAGCTAAGTGCAGCGAGAGGAAGCAGAAATTAACAGAAGTTACCGTTAAAACACTGAATCCATTTCCGTCGTTCGTCTCTTTGACCCCCAACATCGAACATACTGTGTACATCAAATAAGAGACACTAGTGAAACACCACCATCGTTTGGAGAAACTTTGTTAAAAATCATCATAAACTAGTAATTCACTGGCCTTTTCTTTATGGTTTTACTTACTGGAAATTAACTTTGTCCACTTGGAATCTTGTCTCGAAGATCCCTGAAGTCAGTACTCTGCACCGCAGCAAATCCTGGTGACAAGGATTTATAGGATTTTGAATGCTTGCACTTCAAAATTTGAAGAAAACATTAAACTTCACAAATCACTTCTGTGTCCTGGACTTGTTTTCTAGGTCAGGGTGAAAAGCTTCAAGAAAATGGGACACAAGATGTTTTTATTTTCTGTCCCCATTTCCGGACTTGCACAGGGCAGGTTGGTTAGAGTGACTAAATGAGACTCAACTTTGATGGTTTGGACAATTCTGATAAATTTGGAACTGAAAATAACAACATAAAGAAGCAATGTTGCTCTACTGCAGGTCAAAAATTTCAACTGAAAACAAATGCACAACATCGATCAAGATCAATCTTCAACTCTGGTCCTTTTCACTCTAAAACATGGGTGTATCCTATTAAATTTTGGACTACTGAAATGCCTCTATGGGAAGAGTAGGCATACATATATTGAAGAGTAGGTCATATTAACTTTGTGGTTGCAGAACTTCACCCACCTGATCTGTTGGAGTGTAATCACTCTGTTTCACAATGTCAATCTTGTCTAGAAAGCTGAAGAGATAGAAGAGGAGACACTATTACTCGGACAACATTACTGATCAAATAGCTGCTTCATATGGTTGAGGACTTGTACAGATGTGTTCAGGCACAACAATCAGTAACAAACTAGAATCACCCCCTCGTGGTCGTCTGCCTCCTCCCCTCAGACAAGTTTCAGGTTACATCCCTGTTTATCCAGAGTCATATCATCAACCATTTTTCATTTTGTCAAAATTGCTGTAAAGTCTTGAGTAATGGCTAAAAAGTGTTTTGTGAGGTCACAATGACCTTGGCCTTTGACCTTTCACCACCAAAATCTAATCAGTTTGTCCTTCAGTCCAAGTGAACGTTTGTGCTAAATATGAAGAAATTCCCTCAAGTCATTACTGAGATATTGTGTTCACAAGGCCAAACCTGCGTTTTGAGAGGTCACAGTGACGTTGACCTTTGACCCCCAAAATCTAATCAGTTCATCTTTGAGTCCTAGTGAATGATTGTGCCAAATTTGAAGAAGTTCTGTCAAGGTGTTATTGAGATAATTAGTCCATGAGAATGAAACAGACAGACAACCTCTGAACAATATGGCTGTGAGTCTGACTGTCGGAGAGGAATAAAAACTAAAAGCAAGCTTTTAACATGACAATGGACTTCTCTGCAATGAGCATCATCCCTTTAACAACCATGCATCATGTGTGTTTTAGTAAAAAGGATAAATAAAACGTTCATTCATACTTAACACCTCAACTCGGATATCATATGAAATACAGCAGCTGTATTCCCACATAGGTTCTACATGACACATTGGAAAGGGCTAAAACACAACATTTTGACAATGTGACTGAAACTCTCCACTTAGACCAACATAAATTATACCATATTTTGCTCGGCAGGCAACCTTCAAGGCAGTGGCATCCTCCCTTCACTCTTTCCTTCAATATGCAGGGAAAACACTAAAGCCTTCTTCCAATATGTCAGAAAGCATCAGCATGTGTGACAGAAGGGAGTAAATATAGGTAGAAGTGACTGTACACCTGTCCAAAAATTACAGACTTACTACATGACTTTTATTTATTTGTGTACAAATATAAAATCCAGCTCTCCTACCTGATTGGCTCACAATCAAGACATAATACAGTAGTTGGCAGACAAAAAACCTGAAAACAGTTACAGCTAACAGTTATGACTAAAAAACATTCAATGATCCTGACCACTTTGAGCATCACATGTAAAACAGGTGAGGAACTGAGCAGTGAACTTCTCATCTCACAATAGCAAGAAGATCTAAGGGCATATTTCCCAAAATTTGTGAAAATGACTGAAAACCAAAAAGAAACTGAAGGGAATGGAGATGGTCAGAGGAAAAACTCATGTGCACAGAGCAAGTGAACGTGGGAAGACAGAGAGGAGAGAAGAGTGCATGAGGAGTGAATGTGAAGGAGGGGAAGAAAAGGGAGAGAGGGACAGACAGAGAATGAAAGTGTAGTGGTGTCTGTCTGACATTACATAGCAGATTTCAAAAATAGCTCCCCAGCGCCCTGGCCTCCAGCATGGTTACCATGGAGACCCAACCACAGGTGCTATTAATAGTTTATCAGCTCCCGATCTAGTGCGGCTGGAGTAGCTCCAGAAAGAAGACAGACAGACAGACAGATGGAGATGGAGAAGAGGAAGACAGAGGAAGAGAAGAAGAAAAGCAAGAGCAGGATGAGTTTGTGTTTTTGTGCTGGATGTGTGAGCAAGAAGAGGGAGGGAACAGGAGACTGGGCTGTACCATCTCAACCATCAGGGGGAGAATTTCTCCTCATGTAAACTTTTTAAAAAGACCAAAACCAACCTAAAGTGCTAAAATAAATGCAAATAATATCAACTGAGAGTTATTTACTAGCAAAAAGCTGTTGAGGCTTTGGACTCAAAGTCCACATGTGAGCAAAGGTATCCTCCTCTAACACCACCCGTCCACCTCCTTTAAACATCCTCAGATCTGCAGATGACTCAACCTCAGCCATGTTTGCTCCCAAACACTACAAACTGCTGCTGTTACATGAAAACTATGTCACAACAATCTTTCTTTTCTTTTTGCTTTGGAAATGATAACTGGGCATCAGTGTGTTAGTTGCAATTAACTCTGATCTGTTAAAACACATTCAATATGCTCTTTTGCAGTCTTAAAAACACATATGTATCATTTAGATATGACAACTAAAATGTAGAGATTGAAAGATGCTGGGAGAAACATAGAGGAAGAGGGAATCATAGTCCAAAGGTTTTAAAGAAAGGTGGCAGTGTTGGTCCTAGCTAATAGCTGATAATGTACTGTCTGCTGCATAATTTTGCAACTGTATCTGACATAACTGTCAGATGTGTGTGAGATGTTGAACACATACATCAATAGAGCCTCAACATTTTGCTTCAACTGGTTTTTAAATGGTCCAACTTGGCCCAGATTATCTGCTAGTATTACTCCATATGTGTTGTTAATGTTTATACAGGAAGGAATCACACAGAAGAAACTTTTCCAGTGAACCAATTTTGACTGTAAATAACATTTGGTACACATGGAGACTGAAGTCATTTCTCTGAAGTTAGTTGGTTAAGCCTGTAGTGGTATCCTGTGGCTGTTACTGAAGAGCCAAATCTTACAGCACCTTTGTGACTGTGCATAAACTATTTAGTACTAAGAATTTATCTTGTAAGGACACAGTACGGTAAAGCTGTCGAACATTTACATCAAACATATGTTGTTTGAATATGAAATAAACAAAACCGTACAAGTAACAAGAAACAACACAGAGACTTAAAAAATGGTTTCCTTTCCTAACGTAAAAGTGTTGAAGTCTCCACATGGTGCACATCAAATGGAACAGGAGTATCTGCTCGGGTGCTACTAGCATGAAAGACAAGCCCATGTGACTTTGCCCTGGCTTACTTGTAATCTGGCAGTGTGAACCAACACAAACCAAATAATAAAAGCGAGAACATTTTGCCACTAAATATTAGCATATTAAATAATATTTATTATTTCACAATAATGACTGTGAGACAAAAGAACTCACGGTGGGGAAACTTACTCAAGTTCTTCACATAAAGAAAAAAAACATTGATAAATTGGATTTTTAACTAACATTACATCTAATGTTTTCTCAAGTGTTCACATATTTAGAGTCTCTTTGTCAGAATGTGGTCCAGGGTCAGCTGATCCTCTCTTCTTTGTGCTATGTGATTGTGAACTGGGATTTGGACTGTTAGTTTCACCTTCTTCACTTTGGGCTTAGGACATCATATCTAGCATTTTTGTCAATTTCTCACATTTTATAGACTGGTTGAGAAAATAATAAGCAGATTAATTGATAATACAAATTAATTAGTTTTAATTAATTAATTGCACCCCTAAATCTAATATAATGCCACCAATTTCCTTCAAAAATTACCTGAGCTGAATCAACACCTTTTAGAAACATGGTCAATAAAAACTGATTATGAGCCTCATAAAGACTGTTGGAGCATTTTGTATTGCATATGAGTCTACCTAATAGATTTGCACCTCGGGGGAAAAGGAACGTGACCATGAAGCCGCAGTGGAAGGTAGTTACTTACTATTGTGCACAGTCGATCAGCTGGTACTCGTTGGATCTCTCGTAACACGCCCTGACCCCCTCGTCCTGCCACAATGTCTTCGCATGTTCGTAAAACTCCTGAGGAGAGACAGGGAAACACAGAAATATGTCAATGAGAGCAGGCAGCGACTGAAGAGTTAACATATTCATTCTTGTTTGGGTGCGTTTGCGAAGCTGACACCTGATGCACTGGTCGAAAACTTGGTTAAGATTAAATCACAAAAAGCACAGTCAGATCTGTCTGGTGGCAGGGAATGGAAATGTTACATTACATACTGGGTCGTGAGTACAAAATGTTTGATTAAATATTGTCAGCTGACAGTTCATCTGCTCAGTTAAAAAAGGAAAGAGTTCCTACAAGTAGGAGATGTTCTGTATTATTAACTGTGCATTTTATACCAAATATGACGAAGTTAGAAAAGAGGCCACGGATGTCTGTCATCCACGGTGCGTGTCTGAGGGCACATGGCACTCGTTTCTGTTGACACCACATGCAGTGTACATTGTGCTTGGGCGATGCCTGTATACATCTGTAAACGTCAATAGTGGTGGAGGGAAAGAGCACCTCACTATAGACAGACGCACTGACATGCTGGGACACAGTATGGATTAACCACTTCACTTCTTACATTCTTTGTGCTGACTGAACCATAGGTGTCCTCTGTAGATTTCATATTAATCATGTTAGAAAGCTGCTGAGAACACAGTGATCCTAGCAGTACACATGGGCAGGTATAACAACACACATCCACAGTATGTGCCACACACAGGAGTGTATGTTAACAGCACGCTAGAAAACATCATCACAATAAAGGACACAGTCACAACTGCAGGATTCAAATTCTTCAGAAAGGTAAGTGAAATTAAATGAGTCCTGGTATATAATATACTACATATATTTAAGGTGTTTTTAATTGCATCATGAAGAAAATGTACAGAGTAGATGGTGGTGCCAATAAAACCTCTGAATTTTGGTGTTATTCTAAAATCCTTTTATTTCATTTAACAAAATAAGATCTCTCTCTTAAATTAAATCGAAGGCAACTGGACTTGTATTTGTCTGTGGAAGACGTTTCGCCTCTTATCCAAGCGGCTTCATCAGTTCATCATGTATTGGTCTCTCTAGTCCGCACTAGTCTGACCAAGAAAATGGAGAAGGACCCAGGTATTTAACCTCTTGTGGGTGGGTCCACCAAAGTACCTGTGAAAGTACTGGTTTCACCTGACCATTGTTGTGGTCTCATGTGGACGACCGTCGTTAGGGGTCAGGTGACCCTGTTGTTGTCCCCTGTGAACGACAGTCGTTAGGGTCAGGTGAGCCCCTGGTGGATGACGATCGTTGAGAGTCGTCTGAGGTTATGTTGTTGACCCTCCTGGGTACCGATGAAAGGGCGACATTGTAGATGGGGGATAGATGGTGTCGCAGACCACCTCCCCTGTTTAGCGATGGCCTCTCCACTTTTACATAGATGGCTTCCTTGACTCCCCTTTCAAACCATCTGTCCTCCCTGTCCAAGATTTTGACATTGCTGTCTTCAAAGGAGTGTGCCTTTTTCTTTAGGTGGGAGTAGACAGCTGAGACAGGGCCTGAAGAGTTTGCCCTCCTGTGTTGGGCCATACGTTTGTTTAAAGGTTGTTTAGTTTCCCCAATATATAGGTCATTGCAATCCTCACTGCATTTGACCGCATATATCAGGTTGCTTTTCTGATTGTGTGGTGTTTTGTCTTTGGGGTGTACCAGTTTCTACCTGAGTGTGTTACTGGGTTTGAAACATACAGGGATTTGATGTTTGTTAAAAATCCCCGGAGTTCTCTGAGACCCAGACACGTATGGAATGACTATATTCTGCGTTTATCTTGCATTTTCTCAGCATCCTCCATGTTGGTATTCTTTCTGGAGCGTGTTGTTGTTTTGCCAAAGGTCCAACTCGGATAGCCACAAGTTTCAGAGCTCCCTTTAGATGTTTGTGCTCTTCTGCTTGGCCCGAGTGGAGGTTGGTATGTTGTCAGCCCTGTGTTGCAAGGTTCTGATAACACCCAGTTTGTGCTCCAGTGGATGATGTGAGTTAAGAGAAGGTATTGGTCTGTGTGCGTGGGCTTCCTGTATACTCCAATGTGAAGGCTCCTGTCCCCAGCAAGGTGGACATCACAGTCAAGGAAAGGTAGGTGGTGGTTGTCTTTGACATCCTCTCTTGTGAATTTGATGTTCTTGTCCACTGAGTTGATGTGTTGGGTAAAGGCTTGTAGTTCCCTTCAAGGGAACTCCACAAAGCCATTGGTTTAGGTATGTGGATGACACATGGGTAAAGATTAAAACACAAGATCTACAAGCCTTTACCCAACACATCAACTCAGTGGACAAGAACATCAAATTCACAAGAGAGGATGTCAAAGACAACCCACCTACCTTTCCTTGACTGTGATGCCACCTTGCTGGGGACAGGAGCCTTCACATTGGAGTATACAGGAAGCCCACGCACACAGACCAATACCTTCTCTTTAACTCACATCATCCACTGGAGCACAAACTGGGTGTTATCAGAACCTTGCAACACAGGGCTGACAACATACCAACCTCCACTCGGGCCCAAGCAGAAGAGCACAAACATCTAAAGGGAGCTCTGAAAACTTGTGGCTATCCGAGTTGGACCTTTGGCAAAACAACAACACGCTCCAGAAAGAATACCAACATGGAGGATGCTGAGAAAATGCAAGATAAACGCAGAAATATAGTCATTCCATACGTGTCTGGGGTCTCAGAAGAAACTCCGGAGGATTTTTAACAAACATCAAATCCCTGTATGTTTCAAGATCCTTATTGTTAACACACTCAGGCAGAAACTGGTACACCCCAAAGACAAAACACCACACAATCAGAAAAGCAACCTGATATATGCGGTCAAATGCAGTGAGGATTGCAATGACCTATATATTGGGGAAACTAAACAACCTTTAAACAAACGTATGGCCCAACACAGGAGGGCAAACTCTTCAGGCCCTGTCTCAGCTGTCTACTCCCACCTAAAGAAAAAGGCACACTCCTTTGAAGACAGCAATGTCAAAATCTTGGACAGGGAGGACAGATGGTTTGAAAGGGGAGTCAAGGAAGCCATCTATGTAAAAGTGGAGAGGCCATCGCTAAACAGGGGAGGTGGTCTGCGACACCATCTATCCCCCATCTACAATGTCGCCCTTTCATCGGTACCCAGGAGGGTCAACAACATAACCTCAGACGACTCTCAACGATCGTCATCCACCAGGGGCTCACCTGACCCTAACGACTGTCGTTCACAGGGGACAACAACAGGGTCACCTGACCCCTAACGACGGTCGTCCACATGAGACCACAACAATGGTCAGGTGAAACCAGTACTTTCACAGGTACTTTGGTGGACCCACCCACAAGAGGTTAAATACCTGGGTCCTTCTCCATTTTCTTGGTCAGACTAGTGCGGACTAGAGAGACCAATACATGATGAACTGATGAAGCCGCTTGGATAAGAGGCGAAACGTCTTCCACAGACAAATACAAGTCCAGTTGCCTTCGATTTAATTTAAGAGAGAGATTACTATGACCTGGACGAATGAGAACATTCACAAACAACAAAATAAGACAAATGTCTGTGGTGAGTAGTGTTAAACGCTGAAAATGGATTTAGATCAACAACTGATCAAAGAATATGTTTCAATAAAATGTATTGGATACTAGCTTAGGATATGTGACAGTTTCTGATATTTGATGATACAAGCACATTTTATTTGACACACAAAAGGTATTGATGTACAGCTGTATGTGTGGAGAAGCTGAAAGAATAAACTCACAACTGTAATGTGATGATAACTTGATATTACTGCTGGTCAAAACACACAGGTCTTGGACTTTTTCTGTTACCTTTTTCTGTAGATTAATATGAATTGTATATTGTATTTGATAAGTACATTAGATTAGGAATTTAGAAATGTAAACGTGTGTCATGTGATTTGCCACTGACTAAAGGCTGTTGAGAACCACAAGAATCTTTAAAATAACACCTGTTGTGGCTCATTGCGAAATGCATCGCTCGCAGATTTGTAATCATGTATGATTATTAATAAATGAAGATGATGAAGACACCCCTTGTGTGTGCTGGAATTTCTACTGAATGAATCTTTATAGTATTAATGGATACTGTCGTTGCAATGTGACTATATGTAATGTGGATCAAACAGATGGTCCTTCTGAAGCTGAGGACGTTTGTTCGGTTCGTATTATATTAAATTTTTAACCTGTAATAACATAATCCCATCAGGCTTAAAAATATCACTGAAATGTACCTGCTGTACCTACTGTACGTACCTATCTGACCTGCTCCATTCAATCTCATCCTGTCCAGATTGTGTTTAACTGGTGTGTCATTGCTTAGTGTGTGTTAACTCTGAACACTTACTAAAGACGTGATCAGTCAAAAAAAATCCACATAGTGCTGAAATGATTATTCTATTAATCCATAAATAATCAAGAATTTGACTGAATTTGATTTGATCGATTGAACATTTAAGTTATTTATTAAGAAAAACAGCAAACATTTCCTAGTTCCTCAAATATGAGAATTTTTTTTGCTTTTCTTTTCTTTTTGTAGATTAATAGATAATCAATAGTAATCATTATCTGTGGCCTTAAAACCAAGTAACAGGTATTTTGAAGGAAAGGTAAAGACACAGTGTATTAGAGTGACTCAGCAGTGTCTTCTATGTTTAAGGTAATTAACAGGAACTCTGTAGTCAGTGTGTCCATGAACTGTCCTAATGTAGGGCAAACACTGAATACTTCCTTCTTCACCTTCTGTATCAGTCTTATATTTACACACATTCTGTCATTTAAATCAATTTAAAATAAAACAGATAAGTTTACTGTGTCTAATCCTGTGTAGGAAGTTATGCAATGTTACTAAAGCATAAAAGACTCAAGTGGTGATTTGCCCTTTGACGCCTGTGAGCACACACACACCTCTCTCTTGTCACACACACCTCTCTCTTCTCTCACACAGACAGACAGACAGACAGACAGACAGACAGACAGACAGACAGACAGACAGACAGACACACAGAAACTGTGCTGTGCCATAAACAACTCAACCAACCAAACAAGTAAAGCCCAACAGCAACTGTAAACAAACAATTGTTTCCAAACAGCAGGAGGCAGCTGTGATTTTGTGGCTTAAGAGAGCGTCCCATATGAGAAAATCAGATTTGTGAGGTGTCACTGAGTATGATTCTCGTTTGCTTTTTCACTGTTTACTCACCAACTATAAATCGCTCAGAATAAGGATATGAGCATAGTGCCCACATGTAAATATATAAATGAATAGGCCAATGTATGTGTTGAAAATGGTCACTTGACTCAAACATACTGTATATGTGCTGCCCCCCCCCCCTCTGTGGAATAGAATGGATCATTGTCCTCCATCAGTAACTTTTTATTCATGTTTCTTAGGTCTTAGCTCTTGGTCTTATTTATCTGTTGTTTATCATTATGTTTTTTACAAATTAACACAATCATTCATGTGATGTAATCCAATCATTAATGCACCTGTCAATCATAACCATCCACTGCACTGTAAAACTTTTAATGCTCTCACTTATAGAACATACCGTGGGTCAAAGTTCAGTAACAGGTTCTTCTGTTAAGCTGCTCTGGCTGGGTTGTGGTGAAGAGATGTACATTTATTCTAAGATTAAAGAGAGTGTAGGGATTTGAACTGTGATGTGCTCATCCTCCCAAAGTCAGATATTAACCAGCTGTATGCATGGGTATCGTTAGGATTTTATCTTTATCTTATCCAATCCTTATTGATTCAGCTAAGACTATCACTGGTTCTTTTTTTTTCCCTTTTTTCCTTTTTTTTTTTTTATATAAAAGTGAATAAATTCCGAACAGGATTTGAATTGATTGTTCTGGTTTGTTTCAGCCAGTTTCAGCCAGCAGTTGCTCAGTTTACAACAATAATAAGATAATCAGTTACAGACAGCTTTCGTTGTAGCGTTTCCTTACAGTTCGTTATTAGCTTAACCAGTGCTGTGTTGTTTTGTAAAAGACACCGGGAGTCGGTGGAAGTAACAGATGAAAATATCTCTTTTCTGTTTGTTGTTTGTTAAACAGGTATTTGGATAAAGTTCGTATAGGCCTTTTACACTTTATTGCACTTACAGTAAAGTTCAGTGATAGTTGTCGACAGTAATCTTCAGTTATCTTTACTTCACCTGGTTCTGTGTCCGGTGCAGCCTCTGCTGTGCTGTTTGCTCGATGTGTGTCTGTGTGTGCGCGCACGCTGTGTACCTGCAGCCTTGCCTCTCCCGGAGAGCAGAGAGAGCAGGCCAGAGGACAGAGAAGCAGTGTGACCATAGATGATTAAGAAAATAAATATATGGCAGTAATAGTGACCGGCCGCCACAAATAAATCAATGTACGGCAGCCCTAGATTTATTTACAGTCCATGGTGAGACCATGGACTGTAAATAAATGGACTCAGCCTCTGTGACGTCACCCACAGGTTTTTGAAGAGCGGTTTTGAAGCTCAGAGTGAGCTACTCCACAGTCGCCATCTTAGCAGTTTCTGACATCACCCCTAACTCCCAGCTAATTACAAAATAACATTTTAACATGGGAGTAGGGCTGGACGATATAGAAAAAAATCTTATCACAACAATGTTTTTCATATCAGTCGATATTGATATATATCGCAGTATAATGCAAATCACTATTTCTGTCAAGCTTAATGGTTCGTTTTTACTCCTAAGTGAGATGTGAAGATATCATAAAGGTTAATTTTGGTTTAAATATTACTTATTTTCTGTCAGAAGTTGAACATGACAAATACACTGTAGAATATTATATTACTGTATTTCAAATAAATGAAAAAGGTATATACTATAAACTAAAATCTTAACTCTGACCATCAAAAGCTTCTTCTAGGACTGTAAAGGCTTGCATTGTCGTGCTCTTAGAGGATGGAGCTGCTTCAGATGATATAAAACATTAGTGGTATTAACTGTCTTTGTGGGAACATGTTTTCGACACAATTTGCAGTGCATGCTACTCTGCTTCTTATCAGACTTTAATTAGCCAAAGTATCTCCACACTACAGAATTCCTCTGACCCTTCTTTTCAACGATATCATCGTCTTTTGAGCCTTGGGCAGTGGCCGTTGGGGTTTCTTCTTCAGTAACACTGTCGCTCTAGTTTCTTTAACATTTTCTGCCGTCATTTTCTCTTTTATCTCTCTCCCACTCCTGACGTACTGGTGGGCACAGCAAACATTAGCGCATGTGCCGGTAACGGCTGCTACTCCAATGCTCTATCCTGTGTGCATCAACCTAACCTGACATGGATGTAAATCTATTCCAGCGACATGATTGATTTGGTGCAACGCTATTCTCATTATCATTGGCTGTTCATGTTTTCTGTCAAAACATGGATGAATGAGTTCTATCAACGTTGTATCGACCATGTCTTATATTTCTATTGAGGAAAAGTTATTTTGCGATGATTATGTGTGTGTGTGTGTGTGTGTGTAGTCTGATATTGTACTACTCACTGATGGAAACTCAAAGTCCTTCTGGTTGACGAGGTTGAGGACGTATTCGATGCGGTACTGGTTCTCTGGGCTCACCAGCTGCACTGGCGGTGTCAGGTGGCTCATAGCTGTTACTATGGTCTGTCACAAATATACAAAACCAAATAGAACACATTTATTTAAATGGATCACAGACAGATGGCAGACGAATAAGATTTTGAATTTTAAATGAAAAAGAGGACTGTTTACTTTATCTGCTCATATGTCTCAACAGTTCAATTAACCCTAGTAAAAATATGTTTTCATCTGCTACAAGCAACAATTACACCAACACAACCACTTACCTCAATAGCCTCTTTAATATTATTTTTGATGTCCTGAATTTTCTGCTTCTTCTCTCTGAAACAGGTAAAAAGCTTCAGTGACAGTCATGTCAGGGATTATTGCTGTACAGCAGTAACATACAGAGTCAGACTAAAGGTAAGAAATACAAAATAAAGAAAGTAATAAAGAAAGACTGAGATCAGATGTGGGCTACAAAGAGTTTTCAGATTTTCAAGTGGGCCGTGTGTTGGAAGAGGAAGGGAAACCCTGATTTAAACTATACAATCTCAAAAAGAGTGAAAAATGAATTACGGTAATATCTAATTTAAATCTGTCTTTAAATTACTTATGTCACAGAAGTGAGAACATTTCAGCAGCTGGAAGAGGGAAATATTAACATAAAAACACATTTGTAAATCAATTAAAAAAACTCAACTATGATAAATATTTTCATATGAACAAGGGGTGAAAATAATACTTGCATGTGAAAGGGGGCGTCTTTCAGCTCGTTGTTTTGGCCCACAAAATGCACTGTTTTCATTCAGCCTCACCGCTTTCATAAACATCAGAGATCTTACATCAGTTTTTTAGGATCTTAGTCTTTCTTTGTATTTGTATTTCTTACCAGTTCTGGGTATAATAAATATCTACTAATGATTTTATTGCAGCCAAATTGTCCAACTCAGAGTAAAACTGCACCAATATGTAGCTGCAGACAGAACAAGACACTACGGAATATTACAATAAAAATAAATCTGCATAAGTGTGACGGTTTCCAATAAATTCCTGTTCATGCAGAGTGAGAATAACAATCTGACAGCAATAAGTAAAACAAAAACACTTAATTACATAATTTAAAATAAAATTACTATTGATTGCATAATGTTGATCACAGTGCACTGTTACTACCACTCATCATTCTCAAACTGACATCTATGGTTAGGACAAAACTAAAATGTGATTTACAGGCATCATAAAGGACACAGCGCTTACATTATCACTACTCTGCCACTGCTTATCTTCTCTTTAACACATACAAGTGTAGTTTAGTTAGCAAATAATGTTTTAGTCAATTAAAAAAAGGTAGAGGGAGGGAGTTCCATGTTACCATGACATGGTAAACTCCAGTGCGCTGCATGAAGTTTGTTTTTGATGTGGGAGGGACAAACAGACCTTCATTGGCACGTGTGGTAGAGAAATTATGTCTGTGTTGTGTGAAGGATAGCTGCTTGTACTTTTGGTCTCTCTGTGACAGAAATTAATCTAATAAAGGCAACCAGAGGACCACTTGGTCTATCTTTCACCTTGAGCCTGCCAGGACAACAGCACATTGTGTTTACAATAGTTCTATGTCAGTGACAAAGGGCGAGATGGGCCTCTTTGTTCTGTGCCAGTTTTACCTTTTTATAAAGGGATGCTGCTGCACTGCTCCAAATCTATACACAAAATGTAGAAGATCAGCAGATAACTGAGAGACCACTGCCAATTTAAACTTGGTTGATTCATTTCTTTAGACCGATGCGATTTCCATGCTCATCTGTTTGATTACTGAAGACGAAGGCTGCACAATTGTTTCACACCTTCAAACAGGTAAAATCTATTTGGGGGTAATTGTTATAACAGTCCAGGTTAGGGCTGCATGACACATCAGATGGAAGTGGTTTCTAACTCACTCTCTTACATTTAACAGGCTGTAGATTGTCCATAGGGGGGTGCTGTTTTGTTACAGTCACACTAGTTGTAGTCATGCCAATTTGTACCTCATATATACAAGGGGAGTAATTGCAGTAGCAGTTTAGACATGCAGATGCAGACATGTCAATGTTGTCACCTACAGACAAACAAAGTAATCACTACAGTTGGACACTGTCTCAAACTGTACTTTCTCAATAGCCCAAACTCTCATACTGAGTGCATACACATATGGCAAATATACCTTCATGGGCCAAGCTGCCATGAAGCTACACTACAATAAGCCTGTTTTCGCCTTTCATAGATACCTGTCACAACATTTGCTCTCTCGCAGATGAATTAATAACATGAACATAAAAACAAGAGGTATAATATTCCAATTACTAGAAATTGTAGCTTTGACAAAAAAAAAAGAAAGGCACAAACAAAATTCACAAGTCACAACTTATTTCCTTCACAGATCTGGTTCAGAATTTGGTCCAGAAGGGCTTGAATTAAACTACAGTGTGTTGTTATATTCCCACTACAATAATTGTATGTATTGGACTGAAAAACACACACAGACGTGAATATAATTTGTGTAATACTCATTGACAAATAGTAACAGAGCCTGAGAGGTCACTGTGCACCAAGAAACACAAGAGAGAGTGAGAGAAAAAGAGAAAAGAGGGGGTAAGAGAGAGTTTATTGGGTTAGGAGGGAGATTGAGAAGGCCTTGTTTACATTTTCAACATGATAGTCATTAAAAATCACATGGTCGTGTGTGTGCGCATTCTCTAGCTTGGAGAGTGTGACTGATGTCTGTGTGTGGCTAGAGAGAGGGGAAGAAGACTAGAGGACACATTTGTCACATTGACCATGTCTAGTCATACATTAAGGTGAATAAAAGCAGACAATTAACAGTAAGATGTAAACGAAGATGACGGGGACTTACGAGCCGATTCTGAAATCAATATGACAACATTTTTGTCATAGTTCGATGTGTCATAATGCAGATTTTTTTCTAATCTTATGATAAATGATCAAATTTATGATCATTATATTTAAGTGCACAGAAAAGGCACAGCTGCTGAAAACAAATGCAAAGCACGAATGCACAAAAACTGGCACTCCAACCTGGGGCTGCAACTGAGGACTAGCAATTAATGGATCGATTGTTTTGTCAATTAACTAAGCAATAGTTTAGTCCAGTGGTTCCCAACCAGTGGTGGGCCACAAGATATTGCAAGTTGGCCAACAAATCATCTGCGAAACAGTACAATTTTGATGAAAAGATGTACTTATAAAAAAAAAAAAAAAAGCAAACATAAATGATGTTTTTAAATGTTTTAAAATAAAATGATCCTTAAGAACATTAAAAATATTTCAAAACTCCTGTCTTTTTTTGACAAAAACAACCTCAACTGTCAACCACTTAACAGTTCCAGTAATGAAGCTGGCAGAGAGAGAGCTGAGTCAGTCATTCATTCCTTTTCCAAATCAGGCCAGCAATTGGAACCAGCAGTCTTCCGGTCATAAGCCAATTACTCTGACCTTAAGGTTACCGCAACACTCAATACATTCACCCAATGTCTTTTATCACTAATGTTACCGAACTCTTTCAGTCTCAAATCAGTAAATTTATGTTCTGCCTCAGGATCCAGGCTCATTAAAACATATTACTATGCTTGTCATGTGGAGACCTACGAGCAACGAGCCTGCAAGACTGTTGTTTTGGTTTTAATAGAACTTCACAAACAAAGATGATTCATTGTTACACATTTGAAAGATGACATTTGAGCGCAAAAAAAAAAAAATCAACCGGATAATCCAACACAATGTCACAGTTCAGACTCAGAATTATGATGCAGGATTTGTTTATGTGCCTTGTCAATGAAGACACCTACCCACCCCTACAGACACATATATTGACTGACTGACTGACTGACTGACTGACTGACTGACTGACTCTCTCACACACACACACACACACACACACACACACACACACACACACACACACACACACACACTCACACACACACACACACACACACACAGTTCAGTGTTATGGAGTCACGCGCTGGGTCATACGCTCTTGTCTGCCTAAGGTGCTGATTTTCTCTTCTAATCTTGCAAAGAAGATTCCATCCTCATTACAACCACCAGACCAATACATGCCAAGTCACTGACATACAGAAACAAACACAAAGATGAATACTTCAGTTTTTCCTACTGAAACAAGCAAGTATGCCATCTGGAAAGCAAAAAGCTAGAAAAAGAAAACAGCAGAATTGTAATCTTTCATAAGAAACACTTGAGAGTTGTGTGTACAGACTAACTTGAAGAACTGTAAATGAAAGAAGACCAAAAACAGACAAATCAATTAAGCAAAAACAGTGGGACGTCTAGAAGCGGCATGTCTTCTAATAACATGAGAAAAATAGTATCTGGAATAATAATTCCAGCAGCTAGTTTTATTCTTGACTATATTGTATATATAACAACATACAAGCTAGCACCACAGGGATTAGCTCACTGAAAAGAAGCCAAAAACAAGTGTGTATGTGACAAATTGTCCATCATCTCTTCCTGCCAATATTGATATATGTTAAATACATAACTTCAATGCTCTAGGCTTGACTTTGCAGGGTCAAACATCAATTTCTGCTCTGCAGTCTGACTAGCTTCAATGTCGATGGCAGAGTTTTGCCAAACACACTGTTACTTTGGTCTCTGTGAGGAGGTGCAGATTCAGCCAGGGCACAGGTGATTCACTCAGCAGATACTGAATAAACTCTACTTCTGATGTGCACTCATGTTCAGCAACTCATATCACACTCACTCTGCATTGAAGCCGTTGACATGTAGGATTCTCATCTGTTTCACTATGGTGCTCTTTCCTGACTCTCCAGCTCCTGAGAAAGAGAAAGAAGAAAATATGGATCTGTTGACATGTGAAACAAAAACACACACACATATATATATATATATATATATATTTGGGACATACATCATACACATTTGCCTGAAATACCACTTACAGTAAGCGTATAATAGTTCCATTCCCTGTATGTGGATATAAGCATTGTACCTGGCTGAAAGTTCTTAAATTCCTAACATTGGCCTCTTGGCTGTGACTTACAATGCTCTATTGGAAACTTTCAAATGACAAACACCAGATTTCATACACAACTGTGACTGGTTTGGGAGGGAAACTCGTGGTAGAGGCAAGGACAGTGCTGCTGTCTGTCGTGGCTGAAATAATAAAGTAAACTCCACTAGATACCAGAGTTATAAGATTACATTTTTAGACTTAATCATGACTACCTTTAGACTCTTCAATGGAAAGTGAGTTTAACATTTCCCTTTAAAAACAGGTACTATAGTGTTAACTACAAAAGAGTTTGACAGACAGTATACTCCACCACTACTATAAACAAAGCTGAGTTAGGCATACAGCCAGAAAAATAAGACAGCTTAACCACCAAAAAGTTTCATATTTATAATTTTTCCACTGCTTCGATGAACACCACCAATATACCATTGCCTTGCTTGCCTATGACAATAATGTCATGTGACTGATTTTGTGACATGCAGTTTGGTTTATTGTACTTTCTATTAGAGGATCTCTTTGTACAGTTACTCCCTCCTTTTGTACCACTACACAAACTGACCTCTTCAAATTTCTGAATTCCCATCTCTCCACTCATGCTAAAACTCTTTCTGCTAACAAACAACTAGTTCAGAAGATCTTCATATGCCTTCATATCCTGTGGAGAAATTATTATCACAGGGTATAAAGTGAAAGGAGCATGCAATCGTGGTTTACGATTCTTATGGTCTATATAATGTACCTTTGTTAGCTAACAATCACAATTAGTGAATCAGCATTCATTTATTTGGCTGCCAACAAACAGCAGAAGGCATTAAGAGAAAGTGTCAGAATGTAGTTAGTTGGCTGCATTCAGCAGGTCCCTGGATGGTTGGTGTGTATCTGCTGTAAGAATGAAACTTGCAGCCCTTACTCTGTAATGTGAAGCCTACAGTATATACAGCTGTATGAGTGAGCAACATTTACAAGTTGCAGTTCTTTCACACCGTGCAATGCTTTACCTATCGCTTAAACATTTTTTACTGTTCAGCTGTCTGCTCTATTTTATCTTAATTTTGTATTTACAACTGAAGTGAAGACCAAGAATTAACAATGACTCAAAGATTTTCCTTATATGAAATACACTTCATATGTTAGGCAAAAAGATTAGAATATTTTGTACATGAAATCAAAACTTAAATGGTACTCTTCTTTTAAAGTCCAAATGTAAAGTTCAAAAGTGCACCATCAAATCAAACAAACATCAATCTTCACGACACATTGAAGCTAATATTGAATCTGTCTTATGAGTGAAGATGAGACTAGATCCATCTTTACTAACAACATTAATTCTCATTTTATTGCTGCTCTGAAGCCTACAGTTCATGGACTACAGAAAATGCACAATGTCGGAATTATTATACACTATCCTTGTACAGCGATGTGCCTCATTTCAAGATGACGTTGCTTGTTTAAAGCTAAATCTATAAAAACATTTTAGCCTCAATATGTGGCTAATGGACATGTTTGGATGGGCAGGCTGTGGTTTGTGTTCCCTCAGGTGAGCTGGACCCCCTGCTGAGTTTTTGGTGACTTTTGGAGGAGTGATTAGGGTGAAAACAGGCAGTTATAGCTGTGATTATTCTAAATATTATAATTTGATATAAAGAGACAGGGGTGAAACCTCAAAAAGGAGACTTTAACCTCGGCCATGCTGGATCTTTCTAATGGTTTCTAATGACATTGTTTGTCCAATGTTTTTAAACTGTATTTTTGGGTAAAAGTAGGCACCTGAAAATCTAAACTAATAAAAAAGATAAATAAATAATATACCACTTATTTAATGACAATCCCACTACTGAGTGGTTAAACTGACTGGCAGTTTGAAATAGTTTTATATTTGTAGGTTTTAGCCAGCATTTCCCACCCATGAGATGTACTTGTGGCAGTCAGACAAGCCACAGAACGGTCTGGGACTTGGGCATTATGGTGGCTCAGCAAGCTACAGCACATACCATGAACTCATAACATCATGCTCTCAAACCTGACTGATGACCTAATGTAACAAAGTCAGCTCTCCCACTTCTCTCCCATCTCCCTGTCTCTTCACACACCATACTGTCTGATGAAGCGAAAATGCCATAATATCTTCCAAAATAAAGGCATTAAAAGTGAAATACAGTAGTGTGGTGGTGATTTGTGCTTCTTGTGTACTAGAAACCATTTTGGTTGCATGTTTAAAAACACACTGAATCACGTTGGGTACTCAACCCGAATTTTTATGAGTAGCAGCAGAATGTGTCCACAATACAAAGCATGAAGAACAGTTCAGTAAAAAAAAAGGTGGCCATCAAAGCATGGTCAGATTCTAAGACTTATATAAAATGATTTTTGAATGGTGTGTCTTAATGTATACCATATATATGTGTGTTTTGTTTATGCAAAGTTTTCATTGAGCAGTTTGTTTAACAGCATTAAACACTGCATTTGAGAAGTTTGAGGAACCTGGCCATTGGTTGTTATCATATCTCCAAAATAACAAAAATCTGTTTGTTTTGTGAAATAACCTTAATGAACTCAAGTTGGGTGACTTTTACAACACAAAATATCAAAACTGTGTGCAACTGTCATCACATGAGATCAGACCAGGTACAGCGGCCATTTAAGTTAGGGATGATACTACAATCTACCGATATTCTCAGGGGAAGCCTGTATTTAACTGGGAATGTTGTTGTTTCTTCCCTTGTAGATATTATGAGACATGGAAACACATAGACAAACGTTGCCACTGGAATGGAGACACAGACGGAAACTGTGCCATGTGTCAGTGAACAGTCAGAGAAAAGTCACCAACTCTGACCAACTAAAATGTGAATTATCTCTGGGGCAAGATTCAACAGTCAATTTAACATTCACTGTAATAAGCTAACAGATAAGTAAAGCAGGACTTTACCATATAACAAACATTTGCAGAGTTTTGTGCACACAGGATTTAGTCTTTGATTTGCTAATATTGTGGCGATATTACATTAGAACTGGACTTATTATTTTACCATCAATACCATCAAGTTCACTTCAATTATAGAATGTCAAGGAAATGTTTAAATGAATCTATGGTCATCTTAGGTAAAAATATAAAGATAGATACACTCAAACAAACAGACTCAAATGACCTCACAAGCAATATGGTAATCAATGCTCCTCAGGTTGTTGTTGTGCCTTTTTTGCTCAATCTGATAGATGTATTATTAAAGACACAACATTAGGAAACTTCACTAAATTAAAAACATAAAAGTCCTTTGTTGGATAGGAAGTCTGAAGTTTAGAGGATGGATTACTTATCCTCATCCTTGGTAGAGGTTCATTTGTTTTAGTTCATAATTAGAGACCAATATATCCATGATGCTTTAAGGAATGTTAACTGAGGATCATTATAAGTTCAAAATAGAGGCTCTAATCTGTAAAAATGTTATTTGGTAATAAATTGATTTATATCTGCAACCCCTTAATGAAACAGGCTACTAACAAACCCTTTAGACTTTGATTGGGTGATATATTTAACCCAGTGTAGTTCTAGTTGCAGGATACAATTAATCCAATGAACAACAACTTCAGCTGTTGAACAGACATGCACAAGTTTTGTTCTGCAACAGACTGCCCATGTTTGTGTGTCACCTACAAATAACACAAAAACTGAACAACTGTGTGTCATGTTTACGTTCCTGGGTGAAACTTTCACTGCTTTATTCTTTATGGCAAGAATGTGGATTGCACTATTTCAGATACTATGTTTTCCCAACATGGATAAAAATCAAGCACAAGGCCTTGCATACATTTTTCTCAGCAGCACCACGATTGCATGAGAGTGACCCTTTTATTCTTCATTGGGCTTTTGTTCCTCATTTAAACCTTATCGTCCAAAATATGCAGTGTCATACAATACACCTCCCTCCTCATTGGCATTTTTGTAATCAAGTATTAGGATTTTTTACAAAGAACACTACGACTTCTCAGAAGTGATAAGCCAGCAAATAGACATACGAGGAGAGTACAGAAGAGAGTGGAGCAGGGAAAGTTAGACACTCTTATTTGTCTCTTATGTAACGTAGAGACCCAGCCCACCTCCAGTTCACTCTGACAGACACACACAACCACATGTTCATTTCTTCATCAGGTACATTTTAGTGTGTTTTCCTTTGCAGTCACATTATCTCAAGGCTACAAACCCACAAACTGACATGTAATGTAACACTTGTGTTAGTTTAGCCAACTTTTACCTGCTTGCATGATTAGGACTAAATGAGTGCTGTAGGCTGTGCTGTGTGTTCCAACTGATATGGTTGAAAGGGACATTTAATAAAAAAATAAATTAAAAAAAACATGCATGAATTACCAATAAATTCCAATAAAAAACAGTTTTGATTGATGTCTGTGGTTGCTTATTCTATGATGACCACTGACAGCAGTTTACCCACCTCACATATTTACCTCTACATTGCTGTACACTCTCAAATCAACCTGTGGACTTTGTTGCAGCATGTTTTGGTGTTGTTAGTGGTAGACTGCCAGTTTGAAAACAACATGCTGAAAACCCAGGACAGTGCTGCATTTTCAGCCTTATGCAATGGCAAAGTCACACTGTTGACAATGTTTCCCAAAACAACATCCCAGAAGGTTATAGAGGGAGGAAGCAGAGCCTCAACTGAGCAGACTGAGGCCTTGTCTGTGAAGCAGCAAGCAGAGAAAGCAAAAATGAACAAAAATAACATACATCATCACACTCACCTAGAAGTAGTAGTCTGTGTGTTGCTCTGTATATCTGTTTGTCTTTTTGGAGCTGCTTCTCTATCTTTTTGTTTGCTTCTCTTTGTGCCTTCTCTTCATTTCTCTGGTCTTCGGTCTTACTGTTGCCCAAACAACCCATCTTCCCGCAAGAAAAAAAAAAAGGGGGTCCAGGGGAGGAGGAGGAGGAGGAGGTGGAGGAAGAACAAGAAGTAGAGGTGGAGGGGGGTATGTAGAAAGAAAAATAAATAAATAAACTAGTCTAGATCCCTCGTTTGACCCGTAGATTTGGGAGCAATGTCACCCACATTTACACCGTTCAACGTCCCTGGTCTGCTCCAAACACTGTCCGTGGTGCAGCACTGGATAAATTATGTGTCCATAACGCGTATTTTGCTGTCAGAGAAAGGGCAGGATACTGTTGCTGACGACACCGAGGCCGCCTTCTCAGTTTGCTGAATCCTACTCGGGCTTTTTCCTCCTTCACATGCACTGTAGTTTTTGTTTAGTTTCCCCCACACTCCCCCCGTCACCTGTGTAACGCTGAGAACTGTAATCCACACTTCTGTTAAAACACCAAAAATCGGGGTTTCACCTCAAACGGAGGCAGAATCAACAGCCTAATTTGCATTTCCAAAAGCCCGGGTCTTGCGTCTCACTGCTGCCCATGACAAGAAGCCGAACACGGCGTGTCCGAAAAGGTCGTCCGTGCTGTGGCGCGGCTCGTTTCCTCGTCTCCCCTCATGATAAACATTTTCAGAGGTGAACACTTATGCTATCAATCTGTTTCTCTGTCTCCCCGACCACTGTCTACGTCGGGGCCCTGCAGGATAGGAGGAAGGAAAATAATATTTACACACAAACGAGCTACATGTGTGATATTCTCATTGCTTCCGTCGCCATCCGGCTCCTTTCCATTCTCTGCATCAAATCAGCCCTAAACAGCTCCGAACTCACTGCGGTCGTCTTTTCGACAGGATCCCCACCACCTCCAATTCCGGAGCAGTCCAATATATCCCGGTTTGTCCTCCTTATTTGTGATGGCTCTTCCTCGCTGTTTTCTCCTTCAAAGGGCCTTCTCCCTCTCTCTCTCTCTCTCTGCCCCTCTCTTTTGTTGCTGAAATGTGTTATCAGCCCCTCACATCACCACCGAGCCTCCAAAACTGCGCACCGATATTGTTTTTTTTAATTGCCGGCTCGGCCCGGATGAATGTCTTCAAGAAAAAAAAAACTTTAAAAAAAAATGAAAAAAGAAAAGAAAAAGAAAATGCCACCAAGATGTGAAAATCCCTCGAAATGTATCCACGTTCCTTGCAGGTGAAAAAAGCTGCCCCCGCTGTCAGGCTCAGTTTTTATAGCCTACATACGGCCCATGTATATGCACACACTTTCATGTAAACATACAGACACACACACACACACACACACCACACACATATATATATATGTATATATATATATATATATATATATAATTATATATATATATATGTATATATATATGTATATATATATATATATATATGTGTGTGTGTGTGTGTGTGTGTGTGTGTGTGTGTGTGATATATATATTATATATATATATATATATATATATATACCTCTTGAATCCGTGGTGGGGAAATAGGCTAAAGGCTTGAGACTGCATGTGCATTTACATTCACACAAAATAGGACACGGGGTTGTTGTAGCAGCACATTCCCACCGCGAAGGCCGCTCCCCTCCTGGCCGCTGGTTGTGGAAGGTGAAAGACAGAAATAAACTATTCTTGGAGGTTATTATGTTCTCCCTTTCTCTCTCTCTCTCTCTCTCTCTCTCTCTCTCGCTTTCTCTTTCTCCGAGAATAGTAGCTCACATTGAAGAGATAGACAGCGCTGAAGAGAGACGGGGTGGGGCCACACGACGCTCATTGAACCCTGGGAAGGAAGGACCGAGAGAGGAGGAGAGGAAAGGCCGCTTCGCCTCGTCACGTGGCTCGGGCGCGGGGTAGCGTCAGCGTCAGCCATAGACTGTATATAAAAAGGCGTCAGCGCGGCTCTGCGTAGAAAACGGCGCCCTCTTCAAAGAAAAAGACAGCACACCGGTCGGAGGGTGGGAGTCATGCACAGCAGCCGGGTCAGGGGCTCTTACATGTCTCTGAACAGCCAGAGGAGGGAGAGATAATCAGATCTGTGACTTTTGTAAAAGTAACACAATAACAATGTATAAATACTCTGTTAAATATTTCGAATAGTGGAAGAATTAGCGGCAAAATGTACTTAAAGTACCATAAGTAAAAATAGGTTACTCGTCATGCAGAATGGCGTATTTTATATATTATAATTAGATTATAATTAAGCATTAATGTTCAAGCATTACTTTAATGTTGCAGCTGGTTAAGCTAATTTGAACAACTTTTTGCTGGGTATCTTCAGGGGTGGACAATAACAAAGTACATTTACTTCAGTAGCCTACATATATATATAGTAGGCTATAGGCTATATATATATACTGTGTATCTGTACTTTCCTTGAGTATTATTTTTTGTAAATTAGTGACGTTTACTCCACTACATTGAAAGACAAGTATTGTACTTTTGACTCCACAAAATTTTTATGAAGGACTCTTACTTTAAAGCAGAGCTTTTACTCAGTGAATTTATTTTATTTTATTTTATTTTACAAATGTGATCATAGACCATAAACTGTGTTCATCACAGACAGGAGAAAAACCAAAACAATTCTTTACCAGAGCACCACAGCATTATCTGAAGTCCATGTTGGAAATTTTAGAAATAAAGAAAGATTCCTCTCATTTTAAATGTTTGCTGTGTTTACCACAACAAACTTCATCACTGCCTATAATAAAGAAATATGAAAACAATAGCTCCTTTTGTTGATTGAGTTGTGTTTTTATGACCATTTATACAAGCTTTTTATTCTACAGGTTCTACAAGTTAGTTCTGTGGAACAATACAACAATATGTTGACATAAAAATTGCAGGCTACTTTTGAATACTTCAGTATTTTTAAAATCAAGTACTCCAGTACTTTAACTCTAAAAATCTGACTGAACAACTTTCACTTGTATTGGAGTTGGTTTTGACCAGAGGATACTATGACTCAAGTAATGAGGTGGTGTACTTTGTCCACCTCTGGGTAAGTGGTAACTACAGCTGTCAAATAAGTATAGAAGAGTAAAAAGTACGATACTTGCTTTGAAAACTGGAAAACAGGTCTAGACAGTCATAAAATGGAAATACTCATGTAAAGTACAAGTATCTCAAATTGTAACTAGGTACTTAGTAAATGTACTTTGTTAAAGTACATTCTACTACAGCTAATCACACAGGACATGACAAACTCTCCAACACTAATCCAAATTAAAAAATGCACTCACATTACTGACATTAATAAATAACTTTACATAATTAAACATATAACTAAATATACTGATTTAAAAAACATTGTGAGATGTGTACTTAGCAAATATGCATTTTTGTGTATTTCATTTGATCATGATTGAAAATATTGGCCCGTTTTGCAACTGCCACCCATATCCACAGTGAGAACGTGAACCAGGAACTTCACACTGTGAGGCAACAACAGAGCCACTGTACCTCTCTCTTTTCACTGTCAAACATATATTATTGTGTTATTAGAGTTTTGGGGACGTTTTAGTATTTATACATACAATATAAACAAAATGATTTATACGACAGGATGAACACTGCACTTGGTGGCTACTTAAAGGGATCAGTGTGTGTGCACAATGTAACCAGCCAATAGATACTTTCTTTTTCATTCAGACCTAGCAAGTTTGTCCAGATTGTGGTTACTAAAGTTTGTGCAACAAGATCTTTGTGAAGCTTATGATATTCAGTTTTTGCTCCCCAAATGACAGTTACCCATAGCCATGATATACACTCTTCATATTAATCTCACAATTGGAAAATTGGAAATTAAAGCAACAAGGTCAGAATCTTTAATATCGTCAAGAGGTTATCTAACTATTTTTGCACATTTATCATACTTACAAACCTTAAATGTTTATAATTAATGTCAAAAGAAGTTGTTATAATAACTAAATGTTTATATACAGATCATATATGAAGTTATTTTTGTCATTTAAATAAATGAATTAATGAATATGCAACTGCTAGAATGATAGTAGGCCTAGTTACTTCCTGAATGGGATTTTACAATATTTTTTGGGATACATATAGAAATTCTATAAATTTAAAACAGTATCAAATTAATTGTGCTATTGAAGAAAAGGTTTATAATGGTTACAGGAACAGTTGCTGTTAGGTCTCATAAACACTAGGTGGTAGCAGTCTTTTAACTGAACAGAAATGTCTGGGTTAATTCATTAGCAGCCAAATTATAATGGAGTAATTCTCATACATTTCAGAATATATAAAAAGGCATTTTTGATCGAAATGTATGTGAAATGACTTTGAAAAGTAAAACTGGCTGCCTATTTTTTGTCTAAATACTATAGAATCTTCTTTGAGGTGAAGCATCATAACATAGTACTGTAATAACCCATCACTGGTACAAAAGACTTATAATTATCATTTGCAGCAGTACTACAGTGTATGTCCATATCAGACAGAAGCCATTGCTGAACAGGTCAGAATTTAAGTAGAAGTGTGTAGTGGACTGTAAAACTTAAAAGTTATTTATCATTATGTTGTGTTTTAAACAAAAAAACTTGAAAATTACTGGAGACGTTTTGAATGTCCCTGTTGCTTGGTTTTTGTACTTCACTCCTCTTGTTTCAGTCTGTACAAAGGACGTTACTTTCAGTCTCATTCATGTCATGGAGACTTATCCTGACACTGACCTCAGTCACTGCAGTTGTCCCTCTCAAAAGCCTTTTGAAGCTGTCACGACTGGCCAAAATAAACTGACACTAATGGTCTCAAACCCAAATTTTTCCCCACAACCATATGTATATACAGATGTACATGCCCTAAGATAAGTTAGTCTACAATAAAGCTATACCCCATATAGACGATAGCTTCTAAGATCGAACTTACCTACCTTACCTCTTAACTTTTTGAGACTCTTACTTTGGAAGTGTCTGTGCTTCTGTGTTTGGCAGTATAAATTGCATAAGGTTTTGTACAACGGAGCCAATAATTCCCTCTTACCATTTTGAGACTTTTACTTTGAAGGTTAATCCAATTCGTGGAGATGGTGTTTGTGTGTTTCTGTCAATATATATGTGTGTGTATGTGTGTGTGTGTGTGTGTGTGTGTGTGTGTGTAGCAGTAGAGCTGCATCTTTTTACCTGTTTTAGACTCTTATTTTGAAGGTGAATATCAAAAAAGTAAGATGGTGTTTGTGTGTCTATCAATAGGGCTGGTGTGTATTGTTGTGTGTGGCAGTACAGCTGTCTACCATAGAGCCTCCAAAAAGCTTCTGTTGCCAGGTTGAGACACTTATACAGTTAATATCCACATGGTGGTGATGGAGTTTGTGTGTCTTTTAACCTTCAACAGCCCTTTGAAGTTGTCAGGACTGACCAAAATGACCTCACAATAATGGTTTTTAACCAAAATTGTCCTCACAATTATAGAAAGACAGAACTACACATCAATACATAAGTACCCGCAAATACATGCAAATACACTGTGTTAATTTATCTTACAGTTGCTCTCATACCTGAGTTAAAAGGCTAAGAATTAATGAGTTTAATTAGCCAATCAGAATCATCTTTGCCCATTTCTGCCCAGTAACACCTGCTCCTGAATTTGTATTGCAGTCAGTGGGAGAGGTGGAGGGTACTCCCATCACTTCCTCAAAAACTGTATAATATATTACAATGAGACCAAAACTGGGTGATGCAGGACTGAGTTCACAGTTAGCTCCGGTTAGTCAAGTCAAGATTTATTTGTATAGCGCCAATTCACAACATAAGTTATCTCAAGGCACTTTACAAATAGAGCAGGTCTAGACCTTCTCTTTATAATATTATTTACAGAGACCCAACAATTCCCACCAAGAGCAGCACTAGGTGACAGTGGCAAGGAAAGACTTCCTCTTAAAAAGGCAGAAACCTTGAGCAAAACCGGACTCAGGGTTGGAGAGACAGAGAGAGAGAGAGAGATAGAGACAGAAGACAGAGCAAGAGAAGGAAAAGTGTAATGGGTGAGGTTTGGACCCAAAAGCAGCACCGACTAGAACCGATGATTGGTAATGACTTTTATTGTTAGTAGAAGCAGGTAAATAAACACAGTTCAATTCAAAGGGGAATGGCAGTCTTGGAGGGGC